TACATATATATATGTTCCCATATCTCTTCCCTCTTTGTCTCCCTCCCTCCCACCCTCCCTATCCCACCCCTCCAGACAGCCACAAAGAACCGAGCCGGTTTCCCTGTGCCATGCGGCTGCTTCCCACTGGCTATCTACCTTACGTTTGTTAGTATATATATGTCCATGTCTCTCTCTCGCCCTAACACACCTCACCCTTCCCCCTCCCCATATCCTCAAGTCTGTTCTCCAGTAGGTCTCTGTCTTTATTCCTGTTTTACCCCTAGGTTCTTCATAACATTTTTTTTTCTTAAATTCCATATATATGTGTTAGCATACGGTATTTGTCCTTCTCTTTCTGACTTACTTCACTCTGTATGACAGACTCTAGATCTATCCACCTCATTACAAATAGCTCAATTTCGTTTCTTTTTATGGCTGAGTAATATTCCATTGTATATATGTGCCACATCTTCTTTATCCATTCATCCGACGACGGGCACTTAGGTTGTTTCCATCTCCGGGCTATTGTAAATAGAGCTGCAATGAACATTTTGGTACATGACTCTTTCTGAATTCTGGTTTCCTCAGGGTATATACCTAGTAGTGGGATTGCTGGGTCATATGGTAGTTCTATTTGTAGTTTTTTAAGGAACCTCCATACTGTTCTCCATAGTGGCTGAACCAATTCACATTCCCACCAGCAGTGCAAGAGTGTTCCCTTTTCTCCACACCCTCTCCAGCATTTATTGTTTCTAGATTTTTTGATGATGGCCATTCTGACTGGTGTGAGATGATATCTCATTGTAGTTTTGATTTGCATTTCTCTAATGATTAATGATGTTGAGCATTCTTTCATGTGTTTGTTGGCAGTCTGTATATCTTCTTTGGAGAAATGTCTATTTAGGTCTTCTGCCCATTTTTGGATTGGGTTGTTTGTTTTTTTGTTATTGAGCTGCATGAGCTGCTTGTAAATTTTGGAGATTAATCCTTTGTCAGTTGCTTCATTTGCAAATATTTTCTCCCATTCTGAGGGTTGTCTTTTGGTCTTGTTTATGGTTTCCTTTGCTGTGCAAAAGCTTTGAAGTTTCATTAGGTCCCATTTGTTTATTTTTGTTTTTATTTCCATTTCTCTAGGAGGTGGGTCAAAAAGGATCTTGCTGTGATTTATGTCATAGAGTGTTCTGCCTATGTTTTCCTCTAAGAGTTTGATAGTTTCTGGCCTTACATTTAGGTCTTTAATCCATTTTGAGCTTATTTTTGTGTATGGTGTTAGGGAGTGATCTAATCTCATACTTTTACATGTACCTGTCCAATTTTCCCAGCACCACTTATTGAAGAGGCTGTCCTTTCTCCACTGTATATTCCTGCCACCTTTATCAAAGATAAGGTGACCATATGTGCATGGGTTTATCTCTGGGCTTTCTATCCTATTCCATTGATCTATCTTTCTGTTTTTGTGCCAGTACCATACTGTCTTGATTACTGTAGCTTTGTAGTATAGTCTGAAGTCAGGCAGCCTGATTCCTCCAGCTCCATTTTTTGTTCTCAAGATTGCTTTGGCTATTCGGGGTCTTTTGTGTTTCCATACAAATTGTGAAATTTTTTGTTCTAGTTCTGTGAAAAATGCCAGTGGTAGTTTGATAGGGATTGCATTGAATCTATAGATTGCTTTGGGTAGTAGAGTCATTTTCACAATGTTGATTCTTCCAATCCAAGAACATGGTATATCTCTCCATCTGTTTGTATCATCTTTAATTTCTTTCATCAGTGTCTTATAATTTTCTGCATACAGGTCTTTTGTCTCCTTAGGTAGGTTTATTCCTAGATATTTTATTCTTTTTGTTGCAATGGTAAATGGGAGTGTTTTCTTGATTTCACTTTCAGATTTTTCATCATTAGTATATAGGAATGCCAGAGATTTCTGTGCATTAATTTTGTATCCTGCTACTTTACCAAATTCATTGATTAGCTCTAGTAGTTTTCTGGTAGCATCTTTAGGATTCTCTATGTATAGTATCATGACATCTGCAAACAGTGACAGCTTTACTTCTTCTTTTCCGATTTGGATTCCTTTTATTTCCTTTTCTTCTCTGATTGCTGTGGCTAAAACTTCCAAAACTATGTTGAATAAGAGCGGTGAGAGTGGGTAACCTTGTCTTGTTCCTGACCTTAGTGGAAATGCTTTCAGTTTTTCGCCATTGAGGATGATGTTGGCTGTGGGCTTGTCATCTGGTTAGGAGTTGGACTATTAGTGTTTGCTGCAACTGTGTCATATGCTAAAATTTCCTCTGGTGTCCTTGTTTTTGTCTCCACTGTTGTCTTTGGGTTTCCCTATAGACTTCTTTTTAGAGAAAGTCTAAGATGTGCAGTTGTTTCCATTGTAATCCCTTGTTATTATACAGAAGCCCTGTTGATGTGGTGGTGAGGGGTAGCAGGGAGGGGAAGCATTCTATAGGTCTATGGTTAGTCTTTTCGTGAGCTTGTGCCTCTGGGCTGTGATCTTTACAGGTTTTTTCCCTCCTCCTTAGGTGCTAAGAATAAGGGGGCAGAAGTTGGGTGTATCTGTTCCCCCAGGTTGGTCAGGCTCTGGTAATATCCCAGAAAGTAAGGCTCTGGTAAAAAAGTTTCCCTGAGGGGAGACTTCTTAAGAAGAACAGAATGCTCTGGTGTATTTCAAAATGTCTACTCCCACCTGCCCCCCGCCCCCGCTGGAATTATGGGGGAGTTTTTCCTAATCTTTACTGTGGGAATCTGGTAGGATTTGTGGAGGTAAAACTCATGAAAGTGCAGGGTTCTCCCTAAGACTGGGCTCCCCCTCGAGTTTTTAACTCTCAGGCTCATCCACACTGAGACTTTAGCAATTCTTCAATTACAGTTTACGTTTTCCTACTCAGGTACTGGGCTCCTACTGTGGTTTCTGCTCCTGAGACCCTGGTCTGGTCATCAGCGACTCTCTGTATCTCCCTGTTTGTCCCTCCAGTTTGGGGGCAGAGGTTTACCCTGTGACCTCAGTTCTCTGAAAGATTTAAAAGAGTTGACGATTTTAAGTTTGTTCGGTGTTTTTCTTATTATAAGGATAGGAGTGATGATGTCCAAGCTCCTTACATGCCAGACCAAAATTATTTTTAAACATAATATTTAAAGACTTAATTGGGTAAAATTATTAGCTGTAAAAGTTTCTTTTGCTCACTCATATTTCTTCACATTTGCCATCTTTCTGTTGTTCCCATTAGCCACACAAGAATACAGCATGGCTGGCCCTAGAAGAGGGGCCTAAATTCTGATGAGGTGTAGTTAACTGGTAACATGGAACAAGGCCTTGAAGACTAAATTAACTGGATAAGACATGAACAGACTTTACAAGTTGTTTACCAAACTGTTTGATTCCCCCAAAACAATAGCCTTAATTTAAATTGACCATACGAACTTGCCTTCATCTACAATCCTTCTAATTAGCAAGGAAACAATTTGATAACAGGCTTAATCAGCACATTCACACTGTTATTTCACATTGGGATCAGGTTAATATTTTTACTTGAACAAAGTAAAAGGATATTCCCAATAACTTAAGTGTAGAACCATTTGGTTTGCTTTTTAATTTAGGATACTGTAGAAATCTATCTTCTCCAATATAAGATAGTAAGGGAAAAAAATTTAAACTAGAAACTATAAACAAGAAATTAAAAGTAAAAATTTCATAGTTATTTTAGAAATGTCTTTAACAAACCCTCTGGGGTGAGGGGGGGATCTAAATTACTGTTGAATTTGTGCAGTGTGTTCTCCTGACATGAAGCTGTAATTAACTGTTTTGATTCCTGTTTTAAAATATATATATACCTACACACATAGGCACACACAAGTCAAGTTTGTGTAGGAGAGATTCTTATGACAAAGTCAAACAGAGGAGATTTTAAATTTTTCTCTTAAATATTTTAGGATATAGATACATAAGCACATTACTAACTTTTATGGCTGGTAAACTGTAGGTTTACAAAACATGGCAAATCCCTATCTTTTCACCTCCTTAGAAAGAACAGTTTCTAATTCAAACACCACTTACTGGTATCTAGTAAAGGGATTTGCTCATATTCATGGAATTAACAAAATGGTTCTGAATAAGTATTAAGCTTATATGAAGCTGAATACAGAAAACACATCCTATGAAATTAGCTAGTTGTATATGACCAATGTGAAAGATTCATAAGCAAAATTTTATTTTGCAATAACTATTTTTTTTGCAATAACTATTTTTGTGATTATGAATATAGAGCCTGATCCAGGAAGAAAATTAATAGATAGCTATTCTTTTTAGAAATTAATACACTATTTACTGTATAGTTGATAAACATATACCTGCAGCACAACAAAAGAAAAAGAAAACTTTACACTGTGGATGATTACGTGACATCCAGTGAACCTAATGTATCCACTTCATGTAGGTCAGTATTTTTTCACTTGTCCTGAGGATCAGGTAAAAGGTCACAGGGCTCATCTGAAAAGAGCCACATCATCACTTTGGTGCTGTGGCTGAAATAAAACTGTAAGATATACACACATACACAACCCCAGATAGATCTATCTTAAATGAATAAAGAAAAATAACAATGTAATTTATTTAAAAATACTTCAAAGACACTTTTCTTGATTAAATCTGTGACCACTTCATTTTTCCTGCCTCCTTAGAAAGTTCTTAATCAGTGAGGCTTCTTCCATCTTACTACCACATTTACTCTATCCACGATGTCACACACTCATAACCCGCATGGACAGTTCAGTGCTCACATCAACTGACTATTAAAAAAACAACAAACCTCTTATCAGAAGAGTGGTAACGTTAAGGATTCTGTTTTGCGGGTTTGTGGGAATGCACCAAAAAATGTCCTTTTTAGAACATAATGGTTTTCGTTCTAAAATAATGAGCCAAAATATTTGAGTGAAACAAATGACACAAAAGTACAACTCTTGGAGGAAAAAATCTGACATTTACCAACAGTTTGGGGGAGGTGAAAGGTCAACACTTAAATGATGCAGTCCGTAACATGAATCAGTAGTGTATCTATGTCGGGCAGAACTTCTCCACATTTGGGGCAAGAATGAATTGGAATATTCTGTTGTTCCTGCTGCATCCAGTTTCTATCCTCAGCTCCTGGGAATAAGCATTAAATGAAATGTTAATCCATCCCTTCCATGTTGCAAGCAGTTTTTAAAAACAGATGGTGAATTTTAATTTTAACATCAGTTAAACTTGGTAATCAGTACCTCGTGGGAAATGAATACAGGTTTTTTTTTGGTCTTTAATTGAAGTAATCGACACACATAGAAAAAAATCTCCAAAAGTAATACCTGCTTCCCTATCATATTAGGATTTAGGCTCTATTCCAGGTTCTAGGTATGTGAAAATACGTGGTTTCGGTTTTAGGTACAGGATGATATATGTTCTAGTAAAAACTAGAATATCTGAGAGAAGAAAAGGATAGATGAGGATGTAAGCTAAGGAGAAGGAGAGAATTTGGACAGTGCGCAGAGCATGGAGCAGCAGGGACCTTCTCAGAAGCAGAGACAACAATTACGGCCATTCAGTAGATGCTTTTGAGCACTTGGGAGATGGGAGAGAGGGATACAGACACGGTGGGGACATCAGGCAAGAAAAAGAGACAGTGGCAGGACGTGAGGGAAGCACTGAGGCTGTGTCAGACACAAGGTGGTTTTGTTGGGGAAGGCAGAGAAGGGCGCCTGGCTCAGACTGCTCGGTGCAGACAGGCCCCCTGATGAGACCAGCTCCACTTGAGGAGTCTTAAGAATGAACAAGAGTTATCCAGGCAAGGGAAGTGAGGAGAAGGAATTGAAGAAACAGTCCTATTGTTTCCCCCAATTCTGGAGTTGGACTGAGGTTCAAGTCTTAAATCAAAGAATGCTCTGAAGAAGTCATAGCTCTCAGCAGGTCCCCTGTGTGCAGACCGTGCTCAGTACAGGAAATGGTTTCTAGTTCCCAGAGCACCTCATTGATCTGATCTTTCTGCACCGATGCAAAGCATTTTAGTTTTTCAGCGTCTCCACCCAGGGCTCTAGATTTTTATTCAGCTCCCAAAATGTTTGTTTTTGCAGATGATAGTGGAGGTAACTTATTTTTTTTGATTAATTAACTTATTTTTGGCTGTGTTGGGTCTTCGTTGCTGCGCGCGGGCTTTCTCTAGTTGCTGCGAGCGGGGGCTGCTCTTTGTTGCGGTGCACGGGTTTCTCATTGCGGTGGCTTCTCTTGTTGCGCAGCACGAGCTCTAGGCGCACGGGCTTCAGTAGTTGTGGCACGTGGGCTCAGGAGTTGTGACTCACGGGCCCTAGAGTGCAGGCTCAGTAGTTGTGGCGCACGGGCTTAGTGGCTCCGCGGCATGTGGGATCTTCCCGGACCAGGGCTTGAACCCATGTCCCCTGCATTGGCAGGTGGATTCTTAACCACTGCACCACCAGGGAAGCCCGAGGTAACTTTTAATATGGTTATTTGCTTCTGAGCATATTATTTGAATTCACTAACGTGGTAGACTGTTACGGATAGTCTGTGTTAAGCAAACTTTAGAAGCACCCTTGAATAGAAATACTGATCACAAAGCATGATTTCTGAAGCAGGGAGCTTTCTAACAGTCTCATTGTTTTAGATCAGGGGTCAGTAACTTTCTGTCAATGGCCAGACAGTAAATATTTTAGGCTTTACAGGTCATAAATTTCGGTCATAACTACTCAAGTCTGCCACTGTAGCATGAAAGTAGCCAGACAATATGTCAATAAGAGGGCATGACTATGCTGCAATAAAACTTTACTTATGCAAACATGTGACAGGCCAGATTTGGCCCGTGGGCTGCAGTTTACCAAACACTGCTCTAGATGACAATCTGCCACTTATCAGGGACTGTTAATTCATCCCTTTAAAGTTTATTGCATCTGTCTGTGCCTTTATTTTTGTCCTGGTCTAGGTTTCAAGATGCAGACTGGGGCTGTTTTATCGGTCAGCTAATGGGTTCCCTCTGCCTCCTGGCTCTTCACTATAAAATAAGCTTAGTCAGTTTTCATTATTAACACATCACACTCATTTCTGCCTTTGCCCTTTTATTCTCATACAGAAGTTATCTAAATCCTGGCTTCCAGGTCAAGCTTAAAGTCACCTCTTTCCAAGGCCTTTCTCAACCCCCCTGGTCCTTAGGGGTTGTCCTTTCCTCTTATCTCCAGCACTGTTATTTCTATTCCTTATTTGTTATCTTGTATTATGAATTCATCTTTTTATGTGCACATCCTGTCTCTCCAACCAAACCATAGGCCTTCATGGATCTGACCATGCGTTATGCCCGTTTGTTTCCTCATGTTCAGTCAAGCACCCAGACCAGAGTAGACACTTAGATGGCTGCAGACGGCAGAGGACAACCATGATGAAATATATTGAGAGGAGCTATTGTTTAAGGCAGCTTTGTTAGGAAACAAACAAAAAATCTTAAGACAATCTGTTTGGAATATTGTTTTTTATAAGACAAAAAAGCTTATTGGGATAATTATGAATACATTTGCACTCTGTGGCAATTTTTAGATTGTAAGTAAAAGAGTGTTTGACCAGTTTTTTTTTTTTTTTTAAGTGTAAATAGATATTTGCCTTATATAGCTATGAGGAAGGAAAATCTTCCCCTAAGAAATCCAGGTGCAAGAGATTGTCCTTTTTTTGAAACAAAACAATCTTGGTGGCACTTCTAGGTATGGCGTATATGGATGTTCCTAGGATATTTAAATTCACATTAGAGAAAAGGCCTGGTGGTGCTCACATGGGTAGATGCAGCCTTCAGAGAACACAGCTTTACCTGCTGATGCTAAAAAATGCCTGAGGCTAATATTTATGGCAGTCCCTGTGCATATGCCCCATGAATACCATGTGTATTACTTTTTTTGGAATTTTTTTTCTATGTGTATTTTTAACCTGAATTACTACCTCTAATATTTACCTTAACCTAATTTTTTTTCCTTCTTTTCTTTTTTTTAACTGTGGTACGCGGGCCTCTCACTGTTGTGGCCTCTCCCACTGCGGAGCACAGGCTCCTGACGCGCAGGCTCAGCGGCCATGGCTCACGGGCCCAGCCGCTCCGCGGCATGTGGGATCTTCCCGGACCGGGGCACGAACCTGTGTCCCCTGCATCGGCGGGCGGCCTCTCAACCACTGCGCCACCAGGGAAGCCCTACCTTAACCTAATTTTTCCTGTAAAAGAACTCTGGCGGGGGCATCGGTGGAGTTAGTAGGTAAAATGGATACTCAGAAATTTCCCTAGGATTTAATAGTTAACTATACATACTAATATTGCTTCCTTGCTGTTGATAACACTGTGATAGTTCCATTTCAATAGTCTGTTGGTATGTGGAAGGGACTTAGACTCAGCCAGCATTTTAAAAAAGTTAAAGAACCAGTTATGTGAAATTTGGATAACATCTCTCTCGCGCGCTCTTTTTTTTTTTTTTGGATAACATCTAACACCCTGATTCTTCTTAGTGGCATTGCTATTAACTTTTCATCTAGCTATGTCAGTCTTTGATCCTGTGAATTTTATGTTTTTTCATATCTAGACTCAAGGAAAATACTTCCCTTTCAGTGATGTAATTTACTGTAAATGATGGAACATTATTACTAGAGTATTAAAACCACGTAATAAACAAAGCACCATACTTTGAATAAGTGTCATGATCAATTTCACTCAGGGAATTAAAATCTGGATGTAGTACATAATTAGTGCCTTTCTATTACATGCAGTACCATGTAGTGGTGAACAGTCAGATAACCTTGGGTCCCTAAAAATCCTCGTGATCCTGGGTTATTTAACCTTGTCTTCTGGAAGATGGTGATACTATATACCTCGTGGAATTTTTGAGGGTCACATGAAATAATATGTATGAAGGGATCAGCACAGCATCCACGCATAGTAAACTCTCAATAAATGGTAACATTACTATGTGCAAAACAGGAAGCAGGTGAGCACATAAGCTCCAAGGGAGCTTATTTATTAGAGTACTTAAATGCATATTTAGAACACATAAATAATGGGGTAAGAGTCCACTGGAAAGAGACTGTAGGAAGAGAGATATGAATGAGGGAAGGGTATCTACGTGAAGGATACCGCATAAGCAAGTATATGTAGCTATATAAGCTTAGGATAAGTTCAAGGAACAGGAAGTGATTCCATTGGTTAATATCTATAGGGGAACAGAGTGAGAGAAGGCTCAAAAGTTGGGCTAGGCCAGGCCTTAACTGCTAGTGTGAAGAGTCTGGTCTGGATTCAGTAGAGAGTAGATGGAGTTTGAGGTACTGTGGAAATAAGACTGATAGGTGCTATATTTTTGGTAGCTTGATTTGGAATCCATTGTATAGAATGTAGTGGAATTTTTCTTCAAGCATCTTCTTCATAGGATAGCTAACCCCGGGAGCCCTGACAACCTAGAATCACACGTGACGCACCTCTTTGAACGAGATAAGCCTGCTGGTCAGCGTCACTTGCTCTCGCCCCATGACGGCTCTGCATTTCCATCAGGGACTGCCTGCTGGGATGAAAAGCAGCACTTTATGTGAAACCCTGAAATACGACAACATTGAGCAGGCATTCAACAGAAGTATGAGAAAAAAAGACCTAAACTACAAAGCCAAGGTTCACAGAAACCAGAACTTAAGAGTAATTTGAGTTTTAAATATTACTGGCACCAGGACACAATGTAGTAAAAGTAAATAAGATTTTCAAAAATCAGGAAACAAACAAAATGTCAATTGATAGGGGAATAGATTAGAAAAAAGTGGCATATTTCTAAAACAAGACACAACAGAGCAATTAAACAGAGTGAAGTAAATCTACTTATATATACACACATACAGAGTTCAAAATTAGTTATGTAAAGCAAGTTGCAGAATAATACCGATAGTGGCCATTTTGTAACCTAGGCACCTTGTTTTAAGAAATTAATATTACCTTGTTTTAAGATATTATATAGATGTGTATATATGCAAAAGTACAAAACAGCTGGGGAGGCTACCCACCAGTTCCAGGCAGTGTGGGGAAGGGAGAGAGGACTATAATGGCAGGGGGTGTGGGGAGAAGACTGCAACTTCATCTACAGCTCCTTTTTCTTTTAATAAAAATATACTTGGGGCTTCCCTGGTGGCGCAGTGGTTGAGAGTCTGCCTGCCGATGCAGGGGACACGGGTTTGTGCCCCGGTCCGGGAGGATCCCACATGCCGCAGAGCGGCTGGGCCCATGAGCCATGGCCGCTGAGCCTGCGCGTCCAGAGCCTGTGCTCCGCAACGGGAGAGGCCACGGCAGTGAGAGGCCCGCGTACCGCAAAGGGAAAAAAAAATATATATATACTTGAAGTAAATAAAACAAATATTAGCAACTGTCAATTCTGGATGGATACATATTGGTGTGTATTATTTTATTCTCCGTATTTTTCTATTTCTATTCCTCAATATTTGTTTTTTCTCAAAATGAAAAATTTAAAGATAGAAGTAATTTAGCAGTATTTTCTTTGAAAACATTACAGAATTATTTAAAGTGTTAGGAATATTTCATCCATGACAATAGCAGGATATGACTTCGGAACACATCATGTCACATTTTTACAATTTATGTAAAAGAACTCGATCAGGTTCCCACAAGATGCTGCCAGGCCTTGCAGGGCAAACTAAGTGTTAGGGACACTGTCAGGCAAAGTGTGCTCAGAGCGATTCTTTTTTTTTTTTTTTTTTTTTTCGGACCGGACACGCAGGCTCAGCGGCCATGGCCCACAGGCCCAGCGGCTCTGCGGCATGTGGGATCCTCCCCGACCGGGGCATGAACACGTGTCCCCTGCGTCGGCAGTTGGACTCTCAACCACTGCACCACCAGGGAAGCCCCAGAGCGATTCTTATAGCTCAAATTAGGAAACACTGTGGGTCACCTCTCCCACAGACCGGGTGATACGTGCTCTAAGTCTTCCCCTCATTTACCTGCCTCCATCTTCAAAAGCATTATTCTCTTTCAGCAAAATTGCCAGTTGCAATGCCATTTGCTCCTTTTCTTCATGAATCTTCTCTCTTGCTGCTCTTTCAGCATGAAAGTCAGAACAATAAACCTCCATCTGTTAGAGGAAAAAAAGAGACAGAAGTTACCACCTAGACAAATGTGGATTCTCTACAGCTCACCTGCTGATAAGGTGAAGAGGTAGTGCTGCATCCTGTGACATTGTCTTGCAAATAACAGGCACTTGTTCCTGCTAGAAACCAGTGTAATCACCATGACTTTCCAACTACCTTCAAATAGAAGACACAAGTTGTGTGTGTGTGTGTGTGTGTGTGTGTGTGTGTGTGTGTGCGCTTTAAACTATCAGAGCCCAGCAATTACATAGATATAGGTAGTTTAAATACTGTGTGTACCATTAGTTCAGTAAAATTCTCTGGTCTCTTTTTTAAAAATAATATTCAGCACTAGCTTAATATAGTAAATGGTTTATTTACCCTGTCAGGTATATTTATGAAGGCTGGCCTTAAGCTAAATTTAAAATAACAATAAATAGATGCTATTTGTTGAATTCCAAACATCTTCAGGGTCCTATGTTTGGTGCCCTTATTGACCATTTTATTTCCTCCTTATCCAAAATCCTGGGAAGGCAGAATTGCTATGCTCATCTTACATTTATAAATTTAATAGCTCTTAATCTTGGGGAAATTAGTTAAGTGCTCAAACCAGCATTTGAACCCAGATTGAAGCCCATGGATGCTTCCATTTACCATACTGCTTTCCACAGTGGTAGCCAGCCTCCAAGATGGCGCCAGTGATCCTTACCTCTTGGTAATCATACCCTCATGTGGTCCCCTCCCACAATGAATGGGCCAACCTGTGTAACCACTAGTATATTACAGAAGTAATGGTGTGTGGCTTCTGAAACTAGGTCATCAAGGACACCATAGCTTCTGCCTTGTTCTCTCATGGATCACTTGCTCTGGGGGAGGCTAGTTGCCATGTCATGAGGGTATTCAAGCAGCCCTGTGGAGAGGCACACATGGTCAGGAACTGAGGCCTCCCGCCCATAGCCATGAGAATGAGCCATCTTGGAAGTAGATCTTTCAGTCCATCCTGAGTGCAGCCTCATGAGAGACCCTGAGTCAGAATCACCCTGCTAAGCTGCTCTTGGATTCCTGATCCACAGCAACTGTGTGAGATAACAAATGCTTGTTGTTTTAGCTGCTACGTTTGGAGAATAATTTTTTACCTATAAAAAAGTAAATATGCCATAATATGTAATTTCTTCACTGTTACAAAAATTATAAAGTAAAAATGAATGCCTTAATAGTGAATTGAGCATTATTTTAATACCAGTTTTTAACTTCCTATATTTAAAATTGGGTTTTTCATTTCAAAGTTAGTGGTTCTCAGATACAAATTTTTTTTTTTTTCGGATACAAATTTTTATCCATTACTTTAAAAAGTAAAATTAATAAAAATTTAAATATTCTAATCACACTGTAGTTACCAAAAAAAGTACGAAATAGATCATTTTAAGGGACTTCTGCCATTTGTGAGTGATCCAACATTTTATGGTTATCATTGATAGATTATGGGCTTTTTTTTGAGTCAGACCTAAATCTGAGTTAGAGTCTCACCTCCATCACTTATGAGCTTTGAGCCAGTAAGAACTGGGCCTTTGTTTTGTCCATTCCTATATCCCCGGCAGTGAGAACAGTGTCTGACATAAAGTGCTCAAAAAAGAGGTGTTGAATGAATGAACAAGAGTATCCATCAAAACAAAACAAATGTCTCTGTACAGAACATGGCAAAAGTACATGACTACAGTATCATGCACAAACAAAGGAAATGCCTTAAAGAGTTCAGGTTGAAATTCTATTCCTGTCGAAATAAAACTAAAACCATAAGTTCAGTCAACCACTTCCATATTTCACTGGGCCAGCCACTCTGGGCAGCTGGTACTGAGTATGTATATAGGGAATAATAAACTTCTGGCATTGTTACACTACAAATAATCTGTTTATCTTCTTCAGATTGGCAAACATTTAAAAGAGTGATGCAAGGATGTGGGGAAATAGGAGCTCTCATCTACTTTTGGTAAGAGAATAATTTTCATTATGCATTTTTGGAAGACAACTTGGTAATACTTATTTAACTTAAAAACAGGCATATCCAGTGACCCAACCATTCCATTTCTGTATCTTACTAGAGATTCCACAAGTACACAAAGACACAGATACAAGAATGTTCAGTTCAGCATTGTTGATAATAGCAAAAATATTGGTACAACCTACAGGTCCATTAATAGAGAACTGGTTAAACCTGTCATGGCAATGTACACTTTGGACACCATACAACTGTTAAAAAAAACTACATATGGCTGTGAGTAATAACATGGAGAGATATCCAAGATATATCATGAATGAAAAAGTAGTGCAAAATGTATGGCATGATCCCACTTTTAATTAAGCAAACAAACAAAATAGAAACAAACAAAAAAAGGTTACCCCCACTTTTTTGGTGATTTTACATCTCAGGCAGGATGTATGTTCACTAATAAAACTCTTCTCTAAGGACTCCACCCACCAGTATGAAAAGTGGGCCAAAACAGTCACAACCAGCCAATTGTACACAAATTCTTCCAGAGAACAGTGAAAAAGAACGGTGCCCCAACTTGTTTTTATGAGGCCAGTAAAACCCTGAAATCCAAACCCAACAAGGACATGAGCAGAAAGAAAATTCTAGGCCAATCTTACTCAAGAATATAGATACAAAAATCCTAAGCAAAATATAAGCAAACCAAATCCAACAATATATACAGAGGATAATTCAAGAAAGGCAAAGTTTAATATTTTAAAAATCAGTGTGATTTACCACATTAACAAATTAAAGGAAAAAGGCATATAATTATCTAATTATATCATTATATGAAGAAAAAACATTTCCTAAATAAAATTCACCATCCAGTCAAAATAAACATTTTTGGCAAACAAGGAAGAGAAGGAAATTTTCTTAATCTAATAAGTGATATCCATGAAAAGCCTACAGCAAACACCACACACTCAACAGAGAAATGTTGAAAACACTGCCACTGAGACTGAGATCAAGGCAAGGCTGCCTGCTCTCTCCACTGTTACACAGCATTGCACTGGGGTCCCAGCCAGTGCAATAAGGCAAGAAAAAGAAAGAAAAAAAATATAATGAACTGGAAAGGAAAAAATAAAACTGTCATTATTCAACTGACCTTAGTGTATCAAGTCCAAAGGAATATTCAGAAATATTATTAGAATTAAAATGTGAGTTGAGTAAATTTACTGCATGGAAAGTCAATATCAGGAATCAATTGTATTTCTATATAGCAGCAACCGTTAGAAAATGAAGTTTTAAAAAATGCTATTATAAAACTATCATAAAAATAGAAAATATCTAGGAATAATCTAATAAAAGATGAGCAAAATCTTTACTAAGAAGATTAAAAATATGACTGAAAATAATTAAAGAAGATATGTCATGTTCGTGGACTGGAAGAGTCAATGATGTAAAGTTGCCAATCATCTCCAAATTGATTTATATATATTTAATAAAATTCTAATCAAAATCCCAGGTTTTTTTTTCTGTGTTGAAAATAGCAAGTGAATTCTGAAATTTATAAGAAAAGGAAAACCTAAGGTCCTCTTGAAGAATCTCAATGAGGTAGGAAGACTTTCTACCAGATATCAAAGCATTTGATTCTTTATAATAAGACAGTATGGTACCAGAGCAAGGACGTACAAATAGCCCAATGGAACAGTATAGAATCCAGAAATAGACCCGTGGGTACCTGGACACAATATGTGACAAAGAGGGCAGCAGAGTCCTTAAGAAAAGATGACCTTTTAAATAAATGGAGCCAAATGAACAGGATATTCATGCAGAAGAAAATATGAATCTTTACCCTTACCCTCCATATAGAAAACTCCATATAGAAAAGCTCCATATAGAAAAGCTAATTTCAGATGGTTTTTAGATCTTAAAGTAAAAGGCAAAACCATAAAACTTTTAGAAGACAACATAGGAGAATATGTTCATGGCCCTGAGATAGTGAAAGTTTTTAAAACAGGACACAAAAAGTACTATAATCATAAATAAAAAGAGTCATAAACTGGATTGCATTAAAATTAAGAATTTTCGTTCAACAGACACCTTCATGAGGTGGAAAGGCAAATCATAGAGTGAAGAAATCTGCAAAAAGTATAACTGGCAAGGGCTTGTATGTGGAATATATAAAGAACTCCTATAAATTGAAGGAAAAGCCAGAAAACCAGAAGAAAATTGGGCAAAGACCTGATCAGGCTCTTCACAAAAGGGAATGCTTAGAAGGCCAGTAAACATCTGAAAAAGTTCTCACTCTCATACCATCAGGGAAATGCAGATTTAATGAGACACCATTATAAACCCACTAGAATGGTTAAAAATTCTGATAATACAAGTATGGGTAAGGATATAGAGCAATAGGAACTCTCTGTTGGTGGGAGTGAAAACTGGTCCACTTTGGAAACCTCTTTGGCATTATCTATTAAAGCTGGGGAACATGCATACTCTATGAACAAGCATTTCCACTCCTAGGTGTGTACCCAACAGAAATGAATGCACAGGTGAACAAAGAGACATGTGTAAGAATGACAGAGCAACATTAAACACAAAGCCCCAAGCTGGAAATAATCCAGCTGTCTATAAACTGTAGAATGGATAAATTCAGTGAGTAATACACTTAAAAGTCTGGTGCGCTTTCCACCTGTGATATACTTCAGTAAAAAGGTTTTTAAAAATATACTGGTGGAAATAGTATAAAATCAAAAAAGATATTTTAAGCACTATCACTTTCCTGTTAGAGAATATAATCGGGGTTGGCCTGCCTCGGCTCACATTTGGGAACGAAGCCTACCTGAGCCCTGAGAACAGCCATGGTTTCCAGGTCCTTCTCCTGCTTGGCGATGGTCTGCTTCATCTCATCCATTTGGAGCTGCTTGGAAGCCAGGGCTTTCTCTGCCAGTTCCAGCTTTCCACTCAGTTCCTGCAGCACCACCTTATCCACTTTTTCCGACTGAAAAAGACAAACTTATTCTAGACATGGTTTTGAAATAATTCAACCTATTTTAGTAAAATATTAGATGAAGGTTTATTTTTTAAAAAATGACTGGCTCTAAACTATTCTGTTAATCAGCAGTGATAACTTATTCGGCAACTTTCATGCACTTAATTTACACCTTGAAGATAATAATTTCCTAATTTAAAATAATGATTTATAAAAAGAAAACACTAAAATAAGGGAGATAATAGCAAACCCTATCTCAGGGCGGGTGTAAGTTGCTGATATTCCTATTCTTCCACTCACATTACTCTTAACTTTATGAAGTCAGTGGAATGTTTGAATTAAAAATTTACTAGGTCCTAGAGAGGAACAATATTCTAGTAAAAGTAAATGAAAAACAGAAAATATATTTCTAAGAATATAAACTCAAAGACCCCTTCTAATTCAAAGCTCCCATGGTCTTTATTTATTCCAGCTTTATTGAGGTAAAACTGCCAAATAAAATTGTAAAATATTTAAAGTGTACAACGTGATGATTTGATATACATATACATCGTGAAAGGATTCCCACCATCGGGTTAATTAATACATCTATCACCTGACATCTCTATCCATGGTGTTTAAATTATCACACCATTCTGGGGGCATTATTACTATTACTATTACAGTAATTTGAGATGCAGCCGGATAAGTCCAGGGCCTCAAGTTCACTGACAGCAGGCAAGCTAGCCCTGTGATAGCTCCAGGCAGCAGTCTCACTATACAGTCATTACTCATGTAGGAGCCCAGGCTCAGCTCTCCTACAAACCCATCCACTGTTAGAAATGCTGAAAGCTTAGCCGCGGAGCAAGTAAGCCCATGCGCCACAACTACTGAGCCTGTACTCTAGAGCTCGTGCTCTAGAGCCCGTGAGCCACAACTACTGAGGCTGTATGCCACAACTACTGAAGCCTGCGTGCTTAGAGCCCGTGCTCCGCAACAAGAGAAGCCACCGCAATGAGAAGCTTGCGCATGGCAACAAAGAGTAGACCCTGCTCAATGCAACTAGAGAAAGCCCATGCACAGCAACAAAGACCCAACGCAGCCAAAAATAAATAATAAATAAGTAAATAAATTTATTTAAAAAAAAAATGCTAAAACTGTACTCCGACCGTAGGACATGCACATCACCTCTGTACACAAGGCACATTATACATGTGTGGAATATCAGGAGTTATAAAATGTTATAAACACTTAGACACAAGAAATCAATTATAAATGGAAAAACAACCCTTGAAACCAGACCTAGTTAAGGATTAACACAACTACTTTAGATATTTACATAAAATGTTAAATGGCTATGAAAGTAATTTTTTTCCTATGAGTACCTCTCTTCTTTTTAGTTCCTCAGTTGTTTTCAGTGCATTATTGTATTCTTGAAGAAGCCTGTTGTGTGTCAACTGTAGAGTGGCTAATTTGGACCTATTTAAAAAGAAATTTTAAAATGGAATCTTGGGAAAAATATCATAGAAGCTTAGTCTTACCTTCCAACCCTCTTCTGAACACTCAGGTGACAAAATCTTCCCTCCCACCCTTATCATCCCACCACCTACTAGCATGTTCTTACTTGCAAAGAAAACAATTCCCCCCTCCTCAATCAAGACAGATTACAAATAATTTTCATAATTGTTATTATAAAACTTAACATTTATCTCCTCAGAAAAGTCTACTAGTACACCTTCAAATAAATAAAAGAAAAAATTTTAAATTTCTTCTTAAATCCTGATTCCAATCTGCATAAAAGAGCTATTCTGTCTTCTTTTAGCAAGTAGCCATTCAGTCACAGCATACTCACTTTTCATCTTCTGTTTTTGCTTGCTCCATTTTGATTTCTGATCGCATGCTTTCTACTTGGAGCTCTAACTTTCTGTTATTATAAACAAGCTCTTGCTTTTCATTCAGCTCTGATGGGGTTGGAGAGTTTTTCCTTTCAAGGGCCTGACATCTAAGCAAGAGCAAAATTTCATGAGGACAAAACAATACTTCATTTCTCAGTGGCTTTTAAACGAATCCCCAGATTATGTAGCAAATGCAAAGAATTTTAGGATTACATTTTTCAAAAATTTAACAGTACAAAATTAAATATTTTATCCTCCCTGCTTCTTTACTAGAAGTAAGTAATATTTCTGAACCGTTATGCCTGAATATAAAAAAATACAGATTTTTCTAAAAGAAATTTACATATTTCTGAACCCTTATGCCTAACATAAACAAGTACAGATCTAAGATCACACAAGCTACTGTCTACTTGGAGTAATTGTTTCAACTAGTCATGCAAATATATTTCTGTGATTTAGATACAGACCAAACTAGTAATTGGCTAGAGGTGCTTCTCATATAGTGATCCATGGATATCTTTAGTATTTTTAAAACTATGGGCTCAAAAAAACAAAAAACAAAAAAAACTATGGGCTCTGTTAAGCACAAAAAATATGACTTCTGATAAAGATTCAATAGGGGAGAAGGAAATGCTTTCAGTCCTCTTAAAGATCAGAGAGAAAATTTCAATATAACAGCAAATACAAACCATTGACAGCTACGTGCAAGGCATTAATGCAAAGCGCGTTAAACATTAGCTTACTTAATACAAAGTCAGAATTATGACACACAGTTTACAAATGATAAAACTGAGACTCAGAGAGGTTAAATAAATAACTTGTCCAGGGTAATACCACAAATAAGGGGTAGATCCATATTTCACCCTTAGGTCTGTTTATCCAAAGTCCTTAGCATCAGCTGCTATGCTGTACTAGATAACCATTAATACTGTACAGCCTTGGTCAGTGTAACTCCATGGAAACATACACTTGTATATTGGGCTGGAAATATGTTTGCTAACTAATCCAAAAGAACAACATCAACTTAGCTTTCCTAAATTTGGGATAAATTCTTACATCAAGAGAAACAAGCAAATGCAAAATTCTCCCAATTTATAAATTAGACTTCATAACTGATTGAAAATCAATTTTTTTTTCCTAAGTAAATCTCACTCAAGTTCTTCTTGCCCTTTGTAGCTTTTATGTTTGTTCACATCAGTGTTGTCAGCTCACGTAAAGTCACAGGAAGTCTGGCTCACTGCTTTTTCCAGGTCCTCATATACACTTAACAAATGTCCCCAAACAGCAGAATCAGAGTCCCTTGGGCCCATTCCCCCATATTACTACAAGGACTTCTTAATATGTTTCTATATTAACCTGAACATTAGTGTTTTCTGAATTCATATTTTAATGAGGTCTCTTTTTCTTTTACTCAGTAAAACAGTAATAAAACTATATTTTTGTATATTAACATATTTTGTAAAACTGTACCCTTTTCGAAGGAGGATAAAATTCATCTCTCATTCTTACTTTTCCTGAAGTCTCTTCTTCATTAGCTCAGCCTCACTGAGTTTCGTGTGAGCCTCCTGAAGCTCCTTAAACAGGGTTGTCACCTGAAGGTTCAACGTTTCCACTTCACTTCCAACCTGTCATCCAGGCAATCACAAACATGCATTTATCAGAGGCTAAATGAGAAAACAGTGTGAACCACTGGTGTCTAGATAAGACTGTTGAATTGATTAAACTTTTGGCAATTAACGTCCCAAATAGCTTGTATGGAAAAAAAAGCTTTGGGTACAGCTCTGTTTCCTTATAGATCATTAACTGATCAGTTTGGATGCACTTGTGATAATGACTTTATCTTAATTAAAATGAATCCTGGACTTCCCTGGTGGTGCAGTGGTTAAGAATCCGCCTGCCAATGCAGGGGACACAGGTTAGAGCCCTGGTCCAGGAAGATCCCACATGCCACGGAGCAACTAAGCCCGTGCACCACAACTACTGAGCTTGTGCTCTAGAGCCGTGAGCCACAACTACTGAAGCCCATGTGCCTAGAGCCCATGCTCCGCAACAAGAGAAGCCACCACAATGAGAAGCCTGTGCACTGCAATGAAGAGTAGCCCCTGCTCAACGCAACTGGAGAAAGCCTGCACGCAGTAAAAAAGACCCAAAGCAGCCAAAAATAAATAAATTAAAAAAAAAAAAAAAGAATCCTGATCATAGTTCAAGGGATCATAGATCACAGTGATGTCAAAGCACAATCTAATTTATCCAGCTAGCAACTCATGCCCATATTCCCTGGCCGATTTATTTTTCTAGTTTACTCAACTATTTTCACTGTACTGCCTTTTTCCTGGCAGCTCTAGAATTTTTGTCAGTGAGCTTTATGGTGCCATGGAAGTCTCAGTACTTCTCTATTATTAGTTATCGATTAGTTTTAGTCAGCAGGGTACTACTACTCACAGGTGTTCTCTTCATCTCAGTTTTTAAATTATTCTCCATTCTCTTGAAAGTAGGAGACTCAGCCCAGAACATAGCATACAGTAGGTATTTGATATATATTTGCTGAATAAATAAATTAGCTATTTTATGTAAGTGCCTTTCTCATGGGCTACTGTGGGTCTTACAACTTCCTGCCTTCATCACCTTTCCCTAAGCTTCAGACTGTTTGCAGGCTACAAGGCATGCCTCTGAGTTGCCACAGAACAGAAATGTATATGAGCATGTATATAAAAATGAACCTTTTTTGTTCATACTATTTTATTCAAACCAGTAGTGGGATAGAACCAAGATCTTTCAATGCTACCTTACGTTTCTGGGTCACATCCTCAAATGATCTTATTATAAATTGGACAAAATTCCTTTCTCAATTAGTGGGCCTGTCCACTTAGGAATTCCGGAGAGAAAATCAGCCAAGAAGAGAGAGAGAGACGCGATTTCCTAGAATCACTAGGATAGGAATACATCTCAGTACAATTTACAATGAATGAAATTCAGATCAGGACAAGGAAATATGAGAGAAATAGAAAATATTCAACATGGAAATTATTTCTCTATTGCTAAAGCCAATAACACATCACAAGACGCGGCTCCAGCGCCTGCACTACTCTCTGTCCATCGGGGGTGTGGTAACAGTCTTAGACTCTTAGTACCCACAGTTTCTGTGCCTTTCTCCTCTTCTTTCTCTTGTTCTGTGTGCCCCTCTGTCTGGGTCTCAATCTCACAATGATTCTTCGCTTTCTTTTCAAAATCAGAAATTCTGAAAAATTAAAGAATATAGAAAAGTTACTTTCTCTTTGGCTTCCAGAGGAAAAACAATTGTGGAAGCACTGAAAAGAACATTGTACAAAATGTGGATAAAAGATCAATGTTTTCAAAATCTCTTCGCATTCTCTATATTAGCCCTGGTTTTGCTTTCAACGTGATATTGGCTAGAATTGATTTAAGGGATGAATGCACATGGAGGTATAAGATATGTATAATTTATCTTGAACACTGAAAAATACTGCCTCTTTTCACGTCATTGTCATGCACAGAAATATTTTTTAAATTTGTGTTTTTATGTGTGTACACACGTGCATGCATATGTGCTACATGAGAGTGGGTGTCCCTTTATAAGGATTCGGCAGAGAGGGAAAGACTTGTTTTTGGGGACCCATCTAAGTTTATGAGGTCCTGAAAACAAACAAATACAGCAACATTCTTACACTGAATCATAATCATATGAAAGCCATCCCGATACAAATGAAATAAAGAGACTGTGGTTAAAGAAGGTAGATTTAAATATACGCATGTAATTTTTCTCCCACCTTTAATGCCACTAAAATGACTTTTAAAAGCCACATACCTACAAGAACAAAGAGAAAGGGAGAGGAAATAATAGCAAGAAGATTTGGGAAGCATTAGGTATGAGTGGGAACTGACTAGACAGCCCAAGAGGACTGGACCTGAGCCAACAGTAGGGAGAGCCAAGATGGAACCCACTTCATACTGTGGGACCCCAAAGGCTCAGGAATCAGTGACACCAGGTACCTCCGGACGTGGGGATAAAGTTGGGACCTGTTTAAGAATGACTAGAAAGTCGTAAAATAAAGGGTCTCTTGACTCAGAGTCATTAATCAGAGGTGAGGGGTTGGGTTCCCTCCTGAAAAGAGGGGAACTTACAGAATACTAAGACCCTCAGCCTTCTGTTCCTACTCATCTCCAGAACGCTGGCATCTAGGAAAGTACCCAGACAGGAGACTGGAAAAGTCTCCTGTGGAGAATTTGATCAGGATAAGGGAAAGATTTAAAGTTTCTGACGTAAGACTTCCCCAAGGAAACCTCCCGGCCAGATCTCCCTACACATGCACACAGCACTTTGTATGTTTGTTTTTTAATAAATTTATTTATTTATTTTAGGCTGTGTTGGGTCTTTGTTGCTGCGCGCGGGCTTTTCTCTAGTTGCGGCGAGCGGGGGCTACTCTTTGTTGCAGTGTGCGGGCTTCCATGGCGGTGGCTTCTCTTGTTGCAGAGCATGGGCTCTAGGTGTGCGGGCTTCAGCAGTCGTGGCTCACAGGCTCTAAAGCGCAGACGCAGTAGTTGTGGCGCATGGGCTTAGTTGCTCCGCGGCATGTGGGATCTTCCTGGACCAGGGCTCGAACCCGTGTCCCCTGCATTGGCAGGCAGATTCTCAACCACTGCACCACCAGGGAAGCCCCACACAGCACTTTGATCAGCATCTAACCCCCCAGTCTTAAATCCGATCAAACAGTAAAGATTACCAGACATTTCAGGAAAACCTTAAAATGAAACAAAGTAAACCAGAAAATAAAACAACTTACTGAAATTAGAATATGCCAAGGGGGAAAAACTTAAAAAAAACAAAACTATCGTTAATATCCTTAGGGACAGAAGGAAACATATTACCACCATAATAAAATGGAAGAGTAACATTCAAAGGAACTGTCCCCTGCCCCACAAAGAAGATGAAAGTTGATCAAATGTACCAGAAAGGAGAAAGAGAGAAAGAGCAAGAGTGAAGGGGGGATGGAGAGAAAGAGAGAGAGAAGGAGAGAGAGAAAAATGGAAAAGAGGAACACCCAGTTGGGAAAGTCAGAGGACTGGTCCAGGAGGTCCAATTAAAAATAACAGTAGTGCTAGAATGAGAGAACAGAGAAAACTGAGGATAAGAGATTATCCCTGAATTATTTCAAGATCATTTTTCCAGAACTGAAGGACATGAGTTTGCAGAATGAAAGAGGCCAAGAATGTCCAGAACAAATGGATGAAAACAAGGTCACACCAAAGCACATGTGAAATGTCAGAAAACTTGGGACAGGGCAAAGAACCTTTGGGAGAGAGGAAAAAGAAAAGAAGTTTTAAACCAAAAGATTAAGAATCAGAATGGCAATGAGTTTTTCAACATTAACACCAAAGCTAGAATACGATGAAGTAATGCTTTCAAAATTTGGAGGGAAAATTATATCCAATACAGATTTCTATATCTAGCCAAATTATCCATTAAGTATAAAAAGGTAGCAACAGATTTTCAGATATGCAGATCTCAGAAAATATCCTTCCCATATATTCTTAGTAAGTTAGTGGAGATATTTTAAGATATTTAGGGAATGAGAAAGGCATTGGATTCAGGAAACAGGTGATCCAACACAGTAGAGATGAAGGAATTCCACAGGACAATGACAAAGGGAGATTCCAAGATGACTGCAAAGAGCAGGACCTAGGTAACAGCCAGGCTGACTCCAGGAGAAAAGTCTTCAAGAGAAAACTATTAGACTACTAACATGTTTGAATGTAATTGAGATTTCCTCATTGGAGAAGAGTATGGTGAAACTAAGCACATTTTTGTAAAGGTAATACTGCATAGAGATTTTTTTTAAAGTATAAAAAAGGAAAAGTGGTCAAAGCATAGAGCACAGCTCAACAGAGAACTGTATGTGTGTGTGGGTATGTACACATAATAATAATAAACACTGAATAGTGATCTAACTGAATGTCAATATAATCAGTTTTGGAGTGGGGTGGGAAGAAGGGTCCAGAAGTGTGTGGAGTGACAATGGTGAGAGTGGAAGGCCGTTAAATCCTCATCCTTCATAGTGGGAGGTCAATAGATTATGTCTAAAATAGGAAAAACAATCTAAGTAGCAATTTAATCTTGATATATGGGAGTATGTATCAAAAGAACCAGCTAAATATGTGGCAAGTGGTTGTCTGAGAAGCAGGAAAAGGAGGTGGGGGGGTGGAGGGGGGTTGGTCAAAGAACTAGTGTTTTTCCATAAAAAGCTTGTGGAACCAATTCTTTATGTGAATTCAAACCTGACTTTTAAAAAACTTAGTGATAATAACAAATAAACAAACAGCATTAGTATCTGTTGCAAACTGCCCAACCTAATAGGTGCACAGGCACTGTTTCTAGCTAAGCAAATCAATGGGCCAAGAGCTGGTTGGTGCAGGGTTGAAGGATGGGCCGTTATCATGCCACTCACATATGACGCAGGCTTCTGACCTACATTTGAATTTCAACTTAATTTTGTAGGGCAAGTTTTCATCTTGGCTGACTTTTCCCTACTACCTCTTGATTATCCCGGGTCACACTTCATATACACTTTCCCTCTCCTTCCTGGCTATCAGTTTAACTTTGTTCAGAAGACACAAATTGCACGAAATATGAACCCTGGAAAACAATGGAAGAAAGGCAAGTCTGTTGTCCGCTGTCCCCACAAATCCCTAAAACTTTTCAGAGTAAATTTTAAACTGTCTATTACCCCTATTTCTCATGAAAATGGTTGAAAACTGACTTATGTATTTGAGAAGAAGACATGTTAGGTCTTGGAATGTCTTTCCATCATATCCCACATAGTAAATCAAGCCAGGTTGTCCAGGAATCAGTGATTTTATTTCTTGGTTTTGGTCCGACCTTAGCCAGGAGGTCATCCTAATAACCCACATGGGGAACATTACTCTTGGCAACCAATCACTGACTTGCCAGGTGTTAAATACTGCGAGAAGGCTGACTCACAAAATGGAAATTTAATGCTATTGAGAAAGGGATCCTTCACAGGGAGCTCAGGGTGAGAGAGGGAAACACCCATCTCAAAGGCAGGCCTGACTTCCTAGCTGCAATCTGAAAAGCTATACCTCCAGACAGAGAGCTATCATTATTTTGAAAGCAGGAAATATATACTAGATTATATGAAAGATCCTGATGTATAATCAGAAAATTCCTAAGTTTATACTTTTATTATTAAAGCTAATCATGTTATCTGAGGAAGGATGAATTACTGGCTAAACCTGACTTCTTAGAATGGTGTGCAGAACTCAGGAGGGTAAACGTGCCAATGAAACAGAAACACACTGATTACTTATGACTATTAAGGGTCTTTTTCAAAGCAAAACATCTTCCCTTTAAAAATCAGCTGGAATAATTAAGGTGTAAAAAGAATGCTTTTACTTAATTATTTTTCTGTGCATTATTACTAGATTTTGGGACTTGTCAGAAAGCCAGGACGAATATTTTACTCCATTAGAATACATGGTACTAGTTTCCTGGAAGTTAACCTCTGAACTTTTCTAAGGGACAGCAGTAGGATATGGGGTAAAAACCTACGATTCATAGCTATCATACCTTTTTCACCTCTGAAAAGAGCTGACGATCAAATAAGTCATTGGACAAACAGTGATTATTCTAGGTTACCCTCATTCTGAATAAATAACTTATGCTTCATATTTTAAAAACAGATCTTATAGTTAAAAATTTCAACTGCTTCAGTTAGAAAGTGCTTCTTATAGTGCTATAATTTTAAGGTTAATGAGCCATTTATAATGTCTGAGAGAGTTAATTATGTCTCAGACATAATATATTTATGTATATTATAGTATATCCTATTTATAGTATATTTATTATTAAATGTTGCAATCAATGGAACCCTAAAACTGTTGCATTATCTCCCCCGTCTTATGTGGTTTCGCACTTTGCCTTCATAAAAAGTTCATTCAAACGTAGAAATTCATTGACTTCACAACTCTATGAGGTAAATAAATTTTATCCTAAAGTGCGTGTGTATACCACATTCTATGCGGCCAGTATTTCCCTTATACCAAAGCCAGACAAAGACAACATAAGAAAAGAAAACTACAGACCAGTACCCCTTAGGTATACAGATGCAAAGATCCTTAACAAAAGACTAGCAATCCAAACCAGCAACATATAGAAAAGATCATACGTCATGACCAAGTGGGATTTATCCAGGGGTGAAAAGTTAGTTTGACATTGGAAAATCAATCGATGTAATACATTATATTAATAGAGGTTAAAAAAAATCCATACAGGGACTTCCCTGGTGGGCCAGTGGTTAAGACTCTGTGATCCAATTCAGGGGGCTCGGGTTCGATCCATGGTCAGGGGACCCATATGCATGCCACAGCTAAGAGTCTGCATGCCACAACTAAGAGCCCGCATGCCGCAACTAAAAAGATCCCCCATGCTGCAGTGAAGACCTGGCACAGCCAAATAAATAAATTAAAGGTAAATATTAAAAAAAAAACCCATACAATCATCTTCATAGACTCAGAAAAAGCATTTAACAAAATCCAAAACCCTTTCATGATAAAAACTGCAACTAGAAATAGAAGGGAGCTTCTCAACTTGATAAAAGCATCTATGAAAAACAAAGGTAATACCAGCTTAATGGTGAAAGACTGAAAGCATTCTCTCCTAAGATCAGGAACAAGACAAGGATGTCTACTTTCTCCTCTTTTATTTAACACTGTACGGGAAGTCTAGCCAGGGCAATTATGCAAAAAAAAGAAATAAAAGGAATCCTGGTTGGTAAGGAAGAAGTAACACTATTTCTTTGCAAATGACATGATCTTGTTTACAGAAAATCCTAAGGAATCCACTAAAAAAATGATTAGCACTAATAAATGAATTCAGCAAGGTTGCAGACTACAAGATCAATATACAAAAATCAGTTGTAGGGGCTTCCCTGGTGGCGCAGTGGTTGAGAGTCCGCCTGCCGATGCAGGGGACGCGGGTTTGTGCCCCGGTCCGGGAAGATCCCACATGCCGCAGAGCGGCTGGGCCCGTGAGCCATGGCTGCTGAGCCTGCGTGTCCAGAGCCTGTGCTCTGCAACGGGAGAGGCCACGGCAGTGAGAGGCCCGCGTACCGCAAAAAAAAAAAAAAATCAGTTGTATTTCTCTACACTAGCAATGAATAATCCAAAAATGAAATTAAGAAAACAATTTCATGTATAATAGCATAAAAAAGACTAGAATACAAAGGAATAAATTTTGAAAAAGAAGTGCAAGACCTGTATGCAGAAAACTACAACACATCATTGAAAGAAATTAAGGATGACCTAAGTAAATGGAAAGACACCCATGTTTATGGATCAGAAGACTTAATATTGTTAAGATGGCAATGCTTCCCAAATCGATCTCCAGATTCAGTGCAATCCCTAACAAAATCCCAGCTGGCTTTTCCCCCCAAATTAACAAACTTATCCTAAGAATTACATAAAAAAAAAAAAAAACAAGGGACCAAGAATAGTCAAAACAATCTTTTAAAAGAAGAAAAAAATTGGAGGACTTGCATTTCCCAATTTCAAAATTTACTACAGAACTAAAGTAATCAAGACTGTGTCGTACTGACATAAGGATAGACATATAGATCAACTGAATAAAATTGAGTGTTTAGGAATTAATCTTTACATTTATGGTCAACTGATCTACACCAGGGGTGTCAAGACAATTCAGTAAGGAAAAGAATTATCTTTTCAACAAATGGTGTGAGACGGCAATATATCTACATATGCAAGAATGTATTTGGACCCTTACCTCACACCATGCACAAAAATGTACTCAATATGGATCACAGACTTAAATGTAAGAGCTAAAAGTATAAAACTCTTAGGAAAAAACACAGGGGTGAATCTTTGTAACCTTGGGTTAGGCAATGGTTTCTTAGATACAACACCAAAAGCAGAAGGGACAAAAACCCACAGATAAACAGGACTAGATCAAAATAAAAAAATTTTCTGCTGCAAATGATACCATCAAGGAAGTGAAGATAAGTCACAGACTGGGAGAAAATATTTGCAAACCATATACCTCATAAAGGACTTGTATCCAGAATATTAATGAACTCTTTCCATTCAGTAATTAAAAGACAATCCAATTTTTTTAAATGGGCAAAGAAGAAGATATACAAATGGCCAACATGAAAAGATGACCAACATTATTAGCCATTGGGGAAACAGAATCAAAATCACAATGAGATACCACTTCACATCCACGAGGATGGTCATAATCAAAAAGATACATAACAACGGTGTTCGTGTGGATGTGGAGTAAGTGGAACCCTCATACATTGCTGGTGAGAATGTAAAATGGTGCAGCCACTGTGGAAAACAGTTTGGTAGTTCCTCAAAATATTCAACAGTAACCATGTGACCCAGCAATTCAACTCCTAGGTATATACCCAGAGAATTAAAAAGATATGTCCACACAAAATATTGTGCATGAATGTTGAGAGCAAATATTATTCATAATGGGAAAAAAGTGGGAACAACCCCAATGTTCATCAAATGATGAAGAGATAAACAAAATGTTGTCTAGTTACATCACGGAATATTATTTGGCAACAAAAAGGAGAAAAGAACTGACACATGCTACATCATGGATAAACTTTGAAAACATTATGCTAAATAAAATAAGCCAATCACAAAAGACTACATGTTGTATGATTCCATTTGTATGAAGTGTCCAGAAAAGGTAAGTCTATGGAGACAGAAAGTAGAATTTCTAGGAGGAATGGGGAATGAGTGCTAACAGGTATTGGGTTGCTTATTTGCAAGGAAAAATGTTCTAAAATTATAATGTGGTAAAGGCTACATAACTCTGTGAATATTCTTAAAAAAAAAAATTGAAACGTATACTTCAAATGGATGAATTGTATGGTATCTTAATTATATCTCAATAAAACTGTTAAAAAAGCAATGTATGGGGCTTCCCTGGTGTCACAGTGGTTGAGAATCTGCCTGCTAATGCAGGGGACACGGGTTCGAGCCCTGGTTTGGGAGGATCCCACATGCCGCGGAGCAACTAGGCCCGTGAGCCACAACTACTGAGCCTGCGTGTCTGGAGCCTGTGCTCCGCAACAAGAGAGGCCGCGATAGTGAGAGGCCTGAGCACCGCGATGAAGAGTGGCCCCCGCTTGCCACAACTAGAGAAAGCCCTCGCACAGAAACGAAGACCCAACACGGCAAAAATAAATAAATTAATTAATAAACTCCTACCCCCAACATCTTCTTAAAAAAAAAAAAAAGCAATGTATGCATATTTCACGTTCCCTATTTCATACCGTTCTTTGGCTTCATTGAGGGCAAGTTCAAGTCTCTCCACCTTCTGGTTTCCTTCCCTTAGACAAAGCAGGAGCTGGCTCACAGTTAATTCCTCAAATTCCAAATAATTCCTGGCACCTTCTGCAGATTTGCTCCTACATCAGGACAGCATAAAGGTTAAAAGGTTTTCATGAGAAAACAGAAATGTCAGAGTCTACGAATATTACTGGAACCAGTATAAAGGAACTGCTTTCCAGAATATTCTCTAGTTAATTCTCATTTACAGACCAAGCACAGCTGGCCTGGTAACCACCAGTGCCTCACTGCTCCATGCTTTCCAGGGAAGGAGTGGAGACTGATGGGTAGGCTCGATTTACACTGCACGTGCTCACTTCCTCCAAATGGTCACCATGTCCAAGGCACCAGACCACAGGACCCACCGAAACAGTGGGGCAGAGGTAGCCCTGGTTTTTGGTGTCCGGCTTTCCTAGAGGTCTAATCTCCAGGAAGACCACAGTCATACAAAGGGCACAAGCATGTGTGATGCCCATGGTGACATGCAGACCACCGGCCTTTCTCCAACTCGACCGAAACCACCGTGTTCTCTAGTCAGGAGAAGAAAATCATTTTTGTTTCTGGTTTCAAACAATTAGAGCAGAGAAATGTAGGCACTGTTGGCATATCAAATATTTTTCTTGATTTCCAACTCAGATTAAATCAAGAGGCAGTTCAATGATGAAGAAAACCACAATGAGCACTGCAGCAACTAAACATTCTGGACAGCTATGCTGATGCCAACGGCAGCTGCTCTTTCAGTAACCTACTCAAGGTCACACATCTAACAAAAAGCCAGGATTCAATCCCAGTTCCCGTCGCCAAAGCTCAAACTCTGAACCTAGAAATCCATCTCTGACTCCTTAAAATACTTTCAAACAGGGTAAGGAAGCTGTTATTAAAAAATAGCTGTGTGGGGACTTTCCCTGGTGGTCCAGTGGTAAAGAATCAGCCTTACAATGCAGGGGACGCGGGTTCGATCCCTGGTCGGGGAACTAAGATCCCACATGGCATGGAGCAACTAAGCCTGTGCACCACAACTGCTGAGCTGGCGCACCTCAGCCAGAGCCCGCCCGCCGCAAACTACAGAGCCCAAGCGCTCTGGAACCTGTGCCACAACTACAGAGCTCACACGCCCTAGAGCCTGCGCACCACAACTAGAGAAGAGAAAACCCACACGCCACAACTAGAGAGAAGCCCACGCACCGCAATGAAGAGTAGCCCCTGCTCTCTGCAACTAGAGAAAGCCTACGCGCAGCAACGAAGACCCAACGCAGAAAAAGATAAATAAATAAAAATAAATAAATTTAAAAAAAAAAGCAATAGGGGAAAGGGGCAAGCTGAGGAATTTCTAACTAAAAAAGGGAATAACTTTCATTTCTGCCAACTGCCCTGTTTGATGAAAAAATATTATCTAATCCTGATTTTCTCCCTTATACAAAGGCTTGGGAGCATAACTGAAAAAAAAAATAACACATTTTTATGTTTTATAAGTACATTCATCAAGTTATAGAAAAAAGATACTAAAAGCCTATGAGGGAAGAGATCCTTAGGGAAATTTTCAGATAACTCTTCTTAAGCAGAGTCATGCAGTAGGAACCTGCTTACAGAGGATGAGCTGACAGCGTGTTCTGGGTCAGAGCTGCTTGCAAGAGACTCAGGTGCCCAGTTTCCCTGCCGTCTCCTCCTCAAGGTCCCCCCACCTCTTAAGATGTCGGCTTCCTAATATCTGCTTGTCACAAGTCTACTTGCAATTCCCCAGGTAAGATATCTGGGCACTTTCCAAAAACAGCACTGTCACTCAGAGCAACAACAGTCACTGCTATGGAAGATTATCCTGAATTAGTCACCTTGGCTTGTACTCGGGAATGAACAGGGAAGACAAAATGGGAACATCCCCCTTATCAGCTGGGCAGCCTGGTCCGGATCAGACTGCACTGGTAAACAAATCAGGAAACATGGGTCTCTTAATTGAGAAGCTTGTTTTCACTGCCCATCTGATGGAGATGAAACACCTCTACACAGAGTGGTGAGGGGTCAGTTCGCCGACAAAGGCACCAAACATAGTTTTTCTTCTCCACCAGTTTGGGCTGCAACATTAAATAGCAATTCAAATGGAACATTCTTGAAAGGTCCCAGTATAAATCAATAAGTGGCTTTTTCAGCCCACCATGTTTGGCCTCCCAGGGGAGAGCTGAAAGTGACAAGACTGCCCAGCGTGTCTGTCCGAAAGCCCTAGTCTGTCTTCACATACGTGTCAATGGAATCAGTTCTTGTGGGCCCAGGACTTGGCTTGATTTCTTTCGTTGCCACATCTGCTTCTCCCTCCTGTAAAAGCAGAAATGAAAGGGATTTAACATAGTATGTCTGCAAGACAAATTCCTTATCAAAAGAGAAAAAGGCAAAAGAGCAGGAACTTGGATGACACACAACCCAAGGAACCTATCAGACGTGGAAATGTGAGATGTTTAAATTCGGTCACTCAAATGTAATGGAAATTTACCCTTCCCTCAACCTGCACTCCCCATCAGGACTATAAACATCCAGGTGAAGACGAGAAGGTCGGGCTCCTCTCGCTCAGCAGTCAACCTGACCGCCAGCACAGGAAAGCTTATCTTCTCTTTCTCCTTGGCAGTTCCCTTCTCCCCGACCAGATTAAGGTCACACAAAGCTAGTGACAGTTCCACATACCTTTCCCACACAGTCCTTTAACATGCAAAATGTTAGAACTTGCTGAAGCCACGTTGAAAAGAAGGCTGTTTTCTGTGGGCAAGGCTCACAAAGCATAGGTTAGCTCCTATTAGAAATCTGTACGCATCTCGGGCCACTTAGGGAACAGGAAGACTAAGACTTACACTTACATGATTTGAATGACGTTTCTTTTTTTAAAAAAAATATTTATTTATTTATTTATTTGGCTGCGTCGGGTCTTAGTTGAGGCATGCGGGATCTTTCGTTGCAGCGTACGGGCTTCTCTCTAGTTGTGGCACGTGGGCTTCATTGCCCTGCAGCATGTGGGATCTTAGGTCCCCGACCAGGAAACGAACCCGCATCCCCGGCATTGGAAGGCAGATTCTTAACCACTGGACCACCAGGGAAGTCCCTTGAAAGACATTTCTATTCCAGTGAGCTAGCAGAAAGATCTTCCAAAAATACAGAGATGGTTCTAGACAATTCTGTGTGTGCACACCGTTCCTAAATCTTGGGCAGTGTTTTTCTGTTCACAGAAGCAAGGCAAGAAAAACATGTTGACACTAGAAATAACTGTCACTCATCAGTGAGGGAGAGTATTATGCTAACCATTCATCCCAAAGAAAGAAGCCTCATTTGGAAACTTCTGATACGCTCCTTGGGCTTCCTGAATTTTATCAGTTATCTGCAGAAGGTTAACGCTCTTTGATCAATGCTGTGTTTTCATAATCTTTGCTCACTTGCAGAATGAGTACTCTGACATTAGTGTACTTACTGATTAGTATTTTACTTCTCTTGACTTCAGCCCCTATTCATCTAAAATTTATGAGGGGCGTGGGTGGTAGGGCTATTATGAGCCATTTTGCAACTCTGTTCACCTTGTGCACAGCAAATAAATGAGAAGAAGATAAAGGAAGTCGCACTCGACCATTTCAGACACATCCATTAGTTATTAAGCTTTTCGTAAGGTGCCCCTCACCCCGCCCCACTCCCACTTACCCACAAAGTCGAGTTTTCTCTTTCAGAGACACAGGTAACCTCTCTGCCTGTATCAGACGTGTACTCTGACAAAGCCGGAATGACTGTGTGTATGAGGGAGGGTTTTCTCCTGTGCTTGTCTCCCTCACCCCGTATGCAGTTTTTTTCTAGTAGCAGAGAAGGAGAGGTCCCTCTGGGCTTCACTTACCTTCTGTGCTCTTTAGCAGGACTGCCTGCACGCCAGCTACCCCAACACATGCTTCCCACCAGGGATGGGCCGGCACATGCTGCCTCGCCCAGCTCGTGTCATTTGGGGTTGCACATAAATGCCAGTTAGACCACCCTGCCTTCAAACCCTGTTCTCGGGGGTTCCCTAGCAGCTGCCGTTAAAGGGGAGGGACAAGCCCGGGTATTCCCTGAGGGTACAACCAGAGCCGCTCTGCTCTTTCTTTTCTCCACTTCTTAGTTTTAATATACCAACGTTCCTCGTAAGACTTCGTTTGAAAAGAGGGTTCTGTTATTAGTAAGTGTTTTAAAGCCTTTGATTTTACCACATCTGATCACAACTCCGCTTACCTAAGTGAAATGCTGAACACAGCTTTGAGACCTGGGCTGAAAAAGTTTATGCCTTTTTTTTCTTTTTAGGTCAGTCACATAAATTTGTCAGGACATACTGGAAGAAAAAGGACTATCTCTTGTCAGGACATACTGGAAGAAAAAGGGCTATCTCTTTGGTCATAAAAGGTAATCAGTATTTTCCATTTCAGCTATGATAGCCACAGCATTATGTTGTACATTTACGTTGACTACGCTGAAGTTTCCCCACTATCTGGCTTCCTCGTGTTGAAAGGAAATGGTGGTATTTGTAGCAGCTGTCCAGGTGAGGTTTTGTAAGTTGCTTAAAACAAAAACAAAACCAACACACTTACAGCCATCCTGATTTCAACAAAGGAGTCTTCGGAGGGGCCACCTGAGTTCAACTTGAGTTGTAATTCAGACACGATGCCCAGCAGATCGACCTTTTCAGCTTGAAGGCGTGCCACCTGGGTCTTCAGCTGTTCCACTTCCTGTTCTGCTTCTGCCTTGGGGACCTGGGGGACGAGGAGCAAAGTGAATTAATGAATCACGCTAGGGACTTGGCCATCAAACTCGAGTGTCTCCATACCCACTGGCAAGACAGCTATGCTTTATAGTAGGATATTCTAGCTTATCCTTAGCAATTTATTTTGACATGCCGATTAAAATGGAAAAGCTTACATTATTTTATCATATGCAAATAATTGGAAGTTAAAATAACCTCATGACAAGAAAGGCTTTCTCAGCATGCTGAAATAATCTGATGCCATGAAAATAACCAGCCAGACTTTGGCAATGGTAGACTTGTAAATTCTAGTCCAAAATTCCGCAAAGAACTGTCACAACTCAAACTCTTGCCTTTTTTTTCACCCCTACAAATGCATACCCACCCCTACTCTCCCCATTCTTGTCATGTCTACTCAGAAGCCAAAGCACCAAGGGCATAATGTTATAGTAATGACAAAACACAACGAAAGGTCCACAATTCTCCCAGGTATAGTCTGGTTGCTACAGTACTCTATGCTCCTGTTTTAAGGTTTGTAAAAATAAGTTTGGTGAGAAATAAGAAAACTGAAAATTCAGAGGCTGGTACCAAGGGTGGAAAAATTAAATTTCTGCCTCTATAAAAATTAAAAATAAACATTAATATTTCCCTGAGTACCTGCTGTGTTTATCCTGTTGCAGTTACTACATATGACAAAGTCATAAGAGAAAGAGCCTGTTGACATGTGGTGTTTTTACTTGGGAGAAGGGAGAGCAGATTCTAGTCCACACTCTGCTAATCAGAGCATGTGTCACCTTGAGCAGATTTCACTCAATGTCTTGGCTTCAGTTTTCTCGGCTCAGAAAGAAAGACGTGGTACCACGTGGTCTCTGTGGTCTCTTCCAGTTGTGACCTTCTTAGCCTCTCTGATTTCTTCCCTCACTGCTCTTATGGACATGGTGCCACAAGAAACACATACACCTGAGATTATCAGAGGATTGCAACACACAGAAAATTCACACACACACACACACACACACACACACACACACACACACACACCCTATGACAGATCTCCTAAGGAATGGTAAACACGCCCAAAGGCTTATAGTAAAACCAAAAAATTATCAGAAATGCTTGTGCATGGACCATAAACCAGCTAGTCCATGAAGTGTTAAGAACAGAGGGCTTGGTAGTAATTGGCAGCATGGAAGTGCCCCTCACACCAGTGGAATCGTGCTCTGCCTTCATTTGGACCATTCTCTTGCTAGGAAACTCCCGCAGGCATTAGAAAAAAGCAACACATTGTAAAACTGAAGGGTTAGGTCTGTAAGGAAAGGTTCTAAGCCTGTGCAGTCTCTCCTGGTAATGACTCAGACCAAAGAAATGTATATTTAAAGGCATGAAAACATAAAAGAAAATGTACTGCCTAGCCTGGTACTAGGAAGCAGGCAGGGAAGGGCAAGACTACGCTCTGTGAGGGATTTTCATATCCACCATCTTGCCCTCCCTGAGGACACTGTGTAGAATGGACTTTTAAGGAAGGAAGGAAGAGTTTTAAACAAGGGTCTGAGGACCAGGGATATAAGGCCATGACTCTAGAATCTCAGATGTCAGGTTAATTTTCTTTTTTGCAACTGTGTGGATCTCTTAACTATCCTGGGGAAATTGTGGATCTGCTTATTTGGCTATAAAACACCTTGTGAGGTGACACTTCAAATTTCTCTTCATTTCACTTGTTAAGGCTCTGTCCATCGTCTTCCCGGACTACACTTCCAGGGCTTATTCTCTGGATCTCAAGCCCAACTCCATTATTTGTTATGTCTTTCATCAGTTTTGAGCACTTAGCACTGATTAGCCTTCGTGACACAACAATTTCTCTGTCTTTTTCTGTGCTTGTATTGTCCTGGAAATGTGCCCAGGATGATATGCCATTTTATAATCCAAAAACAATAGTCTATCTAATGACCTTTGCCTGGCCATCTGTAGTTAAAAGTTAAAAAGTACTCTTTAGAGATCATTATGATGTATAATTCAGTGAAACTGGATAGAACCAGTAATGCCTCGGCCTCACCCTAAAGATCAGAGGCAGATTTCCAAAGGAAATTACCTGCTCCCTTCCCTTGTGTGACACAGACCACAGGAGAGGCCCTGATGGCTTGTGGGGGTGGGTGAGTGGGGAGGAGGGGTGCATCCTGCAGAAGCAGCAGCAAAGATGGGCCAGCGTGAGTGAGGAAAATCTGAGGCCTTGAGAGCTTTAGTAAATCAGGAAGATGAGGGCCTAAATGAAAAACAACTGGGCTTCCCTGGTGGCACAGTGGTTAAGGATCCACCTGCCAATGCAGGGGACATGAGATTGAGCCCTAGTCCGGGAAGATCCCACATGCCGCAGAGCAACTGAGCCCGTGTGCCACAACTACTGAGCCTGCGGTCTAGAGCCTGCAAGCCACAACTACTGAGCCTGCGGTCTAGAGCCCGCGAGCCACAACTACTGAGCCCGCGTGCTTAGAGCCCGTGATCTGCAACAAGAGAAGCCACTGCAATGAGAAGCCCATTGCACTGCCCCTGCTCGCTGCAACTAGAGAAAGCCCACATGCAGCAAGGAAGACCCAGTGCAGCCAAAAATAAATTAATTAATTAAAAAAAAATTTTTTTTAAAAACCAAAAAACAACACAAGTGGTCCAGGAGACAAACATTACAGAAGAGGCAGGGGGGCAAGGGGTGGGCCTGGGAGGTACAGTTTTGGGGGATACAGTTGATGACCAAGGGTTTTTAAGAGTCCTAAATGCCACTTTGTCCCAAGGACTCATTTCTGAGTCCTGCTTGTAGTTTGCTTCAGCTGATCATCTGCACTGAAAGAAGCTGTTCAGAGCTCCAGCTTCTGATCTCAACTTCTTCCAATACTGGGACCTTTTTGGAAAACCTACAGGCAGACTATCTCAGGCAGACAAACTGCTTCTGGAAGCTTCCTTTTTGGCTTCAAAGTGCTGGGCCCCCGCAGGCTGAAGCCAACTGTCAGCCCACATCCCAAAAGCCAAGGGAGGAAAACAAAGTGAGATATTTTCTTCCAGCAAGTAGAAAATTACCCATATATCCCAGTGATCATTTCTTCAGAGTATTCTACCTCAAAAATATGTAGACAATGAGAGGTTTCGCCCAAAGAAGTGACTTAATGCCCTTTGAACTGTAAGACAAACTGAAGCATCAGACACAATAAATCTTATCAACAATGAAACATGTGCAATACAAATACAAATTTATTAAACCTGAATGTTTTCATTGTCCCATGAGCAGGAGTTGATGAGTAAGATCATTGATATAAGCTATGATATTTTTCTAAACAACTTTTCATTCTTTAGATTATTCCATATTTCTCTTTTCCTTATTTTATTTCTTTGTTTGTATTCTTTACCTATTTAAGAAATTAGACATCAACAAAGTTCAAGGTAAAGTCTCAAGAAAAATCACTGATGAGGGGAGGGATAAATGAGGAGTATGGAACTGACAGATACAAACTGCTTCCTGTAATAAACCATAATGGAAAAGAAAAACAATAAGGGAACAGATACAAACTATTGTACATAAAATAGATAAGCAACAAGGATTTACTGTTCAGCACATGGAACTATACTATGTATCTTGTAATAACCTATAATGGAAAATAAACTGAAAAAAATTTATATAACTGAATCACTTTGCTGCATACCTGAACTAACACAATATTGTAAATGAACTGGAAAAAAAAAAAGAAAGAAAGAAAATCACTGATATCTAAGAATTAACCCAGTGCTTCATCCTCCCTAAAGCTGTTAAGTTCTAGGTTTGGAAGAAAATGAACTGGAGATGTCCATCTAAACAAATAATACCCAGTGAGCCTTAGAATATGGGCAGAGGCTTCAAATGTGCTCTGATTTGCTTTTTCACTCACATCTTTGATACTCGTTCTCAGGTGTGAGCACACTTCTTGGGTTCTTTGGGTCAGTGGAAATGTGGCAACCCTACAGCCTCATATCACATGACATTTGTCAAACCAGTTTTCAGAAGTAAATGTAAAACATAAAGCGAGGAATCTATTAGGCAGAGAGGAAGGACAAGGTCAGTAAGTGACAATTCTGAGTGACAGATTTTTAAAGTGTAATATTCTACATCAAAGACATAAACTAATGACTGACACTTGGATGGTTCTAGGCAGAGGTCCTTCCGTACCATCTATAATGAATACAGAATACTGACTTATAACCATAACACTCTTTTGACTATAATCAATATGGTCAAAGCTTTACCCATTTCTTTCCTTCACCAGAGATTATACATGACCCTTAAAATTGTAACCAATCTTCTCAACAAGCACACTTCTTTCAAGATAATGCAAAGCACCCATCTAGCCTGCACCGTGAAAGGTTTTGATCTAGAAGTCTGGTCAAGTAAGACTGCACTACAAATATGAACAGAATAAAATCACAAGTGGTCAGTCTGCTCACCTCGAATGACCTTTCAGTTTTCCCTTTTAGTTTTCCGAGTTCCTGCTTCAGTTTTTCATTTTCAAGACTCAGTGCCGTTAGGCGCTCTTTGGCTTCTTTGCTCTGGGTCTCAAAAAAAAGGCGTTCTTCCTTCTGCTTTTCTGTCCAGGCTGAAAGCTCCTCAAATCGCCCTTTCATAGCTTGATTGTTCAGCTTCATGGCTTCTGCATGGGGTGCAGAGGGAGAGTGTCACACCAGTGGACTGGACTTGGGGTCATGAATGGAACCTGCCTGGGCCCCAGGGTCAGCCGGAAAGACTGCGAAGCAAGATGAGTGAGTGGTTTCCGCTTCCAGACAGGACTAGCAGGGTCTAATGTCATCTCTAGTCCTCAAGAGTCTCAAGAAAATAAAATTGATTTTATTGACTTATTATAACAAAATGTCTATTAATAACATAGACTGAGGTCCATCACTCCTGGATTCGAACACTGGTTCTCCCAAAAACCATGGCTGGAGATATTAGAATGCTTTTTTTTTTTTTTTTTTTTTTGCTGTCCGCGGGCCTGTGACACCGCTGCGGCCTCTCCCGCTGCAGAGCACAGGCTCCGGACGCGCAGGCCCAGCGGCCATGGCTCACGGGCCCAGCCGCTCCGCGGCATGCAGGATCCTCCCGGACCGGGGCACGAACCCGCATCCCCTGCACCGGCAGGCGGACCCCCAACCACCGCGCCACCAGGGAAGCCCTAGAATGCTTTCTTTTAAGGTAGTATTTAGGACTAACTCTGTAATAATAGCAGCCTTTTTTTTCTTTTTCCTTTTAAATGGGCTAAATGTCATTATCCCATTTCCCAGAGATGCATACTTTTTATTTTTACCTGTATCCAAAAGTAAACAATGGAAACCACTTTAGCCTTACTCAAAGCTAATTCTGTGCTCTTTCTTCCCCCAGGGAATCAGGCGCACAGAAAGGGATTCACCTACAAGCTATTACCAAAGGACGGCATTCCCGAAGGCCCAGCATGAATGAAGAAACATGGGGCAGGTGCTGCTCACCTTTCAGCTGATGGTTCTCAATTAGAAGCTCTCTCATCTGCTGCAGCAGCTCATGTGGGGTGAACGTGTCCAGGTTCGGGTGAGCCAGACTGGGGGGTCCATTTCCTGTGGTTTCGTTGGGGCTGTCCCCCTTTTCAGTCAGGCAGCTAACTGGTTGGTGGGACATGGCAGCAGTTCCTATGGAAGAGTCACAAACCAAAAATATAACTGTTCCCCTCTGCATGGCGTCCTCACGAGTCCCACAAGCCCATGTGCAAGTGCTAATAAGTATTCTACAAGGTGCTTTCTCTCCCATTATATATATATATATTTTTTTAATTTTGCGGTACGTGGGCCTTTCACTGTTGTGGCCTCTCCTGTTGCGGAGCACAGGCTCCGGACGCGCAGGCCTTGCGGCATGTGGGATCTTCCCGGACCAGGGCACGAACCCGTGTCCCCTGCATCAGCAGGCGGACTCTCAACCACTGCGCCACCAGGGAAGCCCTCTCCCATTATATTTTGAACAATCTTGATTCTTCCTTTTTAAACAAAAAAGGTACATCCTAGCTTCAGTTTGTATGTGTATGTCTGTGTATAAGGGTGTATAAAGGGGTACAGTGAGGAGATGGGGGATAGAGGAGGGAGAGACGGACATGATATCATGATGATCAGGAATCCTAACGTGGGGCGTTCGAGAGGCTTTCCATATATACATTTGTAGATGTGGGCAAAGTATTATTAAATGGTTTTTCCCCAGAAAAATCTTTAAGCTCAAATCTTCCTATTTTGGGTGAAATTGTATGGTATGTGAATTATATCTCAATAATTAATTGTTAAAAAATCTCCATATTTTATTTCTTGTATATTTGGCTGAGAGGAAATGGAGAACTAACATATTTCAGATGCTTACTATGCTCTTGATCACCGCACCAGACTGTCAGTTTCTAATCCTCACTAAAACTCAACTAGACAGCTATTTTCCTGGTGACAGAGCTGAGTTCACAGAGGTTTTATAGCTCATCCAAGGTCACTCAATGAAGGGCACAACCGAGCATTAAGGATGATTCCAAAACCCAGCCCTGTCATACAGTGAAGGTAGCACTGAATACTTAGACTTCCATAGTCGATACTTTTGCAAAGCGTTCTAAAAGACTAAGAAAATCTTGCTTAGTTGTTGCATATTCTGAGAATATTTTAAGCATACCACTTTATTTGTTGAGGGGTCAGTGTGGCCATAAATAAGATAGACGGGTGTATCCCAACTGTACTTCTGTATGGCCTACCACCTGGGCAAACACAGAAATCAAATGCTGTGGGCAAACGTTTTCCTTTTCACATTTCACAAAGATGATGATATACCTTTTCATGAGGAATTGGAGAGTTACGGCATCAGTCACTGGAAGCTGAGGAGAGAGGAGTGCTCTCTGATCTATTGCTGTATAACCTCTGGGTGTGCTCTATAAACATGGAAGGCGGGCCCATTCACCTCACCCAGAGTTCAGATTCCACTTCACCCATCCATTGCACACTGCCAGAAATCTTAAAGAAATAACCAAGGCTGCTGGAAGGATTTTTTCTTCTTACTTCTTAGCAATAACAGTCAATGAATTGCTTACAAACAAGTTACTAACAAATTTTCACTGCGTCCAAAGAACCTCATCCCTGTAAGAAGTTCCCACGTGTGCCGACAGAACCTGCCACTGCCGACAGGAGGGCAGAGTACAAATGACTCTCTCTAAGAGGCTGCAGGGAAGCTTCAGTTATGGTTTTTGTTGTTAAGTCCCTGTGCATGTTAGGGCAGAAGCTGGGGAAACCCCCATGTATTAGGGCCTGTATATTAATGCACCAAACCCTTGGGGTGAAGAGCGTTGCTTCTTTCCCACTCTGGCAGGAGGCAATCCCTAGGCTCTCTGGAGGTCTCCTGGAACTGAGAGCCTAGTGACCTGCTTTTGGTCTAAAGGACCTGTAAGGTGAGCTGGGACGAAGTGAGAGAGCGGCATGGACTTACAAATACTAGCAAATGTAAAATAGCTAGTGGGAAGCAGCCGCATAGCACAGGGAGATCAGCTCAGGGCTTTGTGACCATCCAGAGGGGTGGGATAGGGAGGGTGGGAGGGAGACACAAGAGGAAGGAGATATGGGGATATATGTATATGTATATGTATAGCTGATTCACTTTGTTATAAAGAAGAAACTAACACACCATTGTAAAGCAATTATACTCCAATAAAGATGTTAAAAAAATAAATTAAATAAAGGACCTGTAGGAAATCAGAGACAGTGCTGCTACCGAGGGGACAGCTGGCCCCCAGCACTGTGGCCTGTGTGATTCCTCTAGAGCAGCTGGCACAGGAAAGGCATCCTCATGGAATTCTTTAATGAGGATGGCAATTCTATGAAGTGAAAAACACGGATAAAGCATTTTGAGCCTTTTGAAAGCATCTGTGTTTTACATATCCTGATTCATTTAGAAAGAGGTACACTGCTAAAGTGTGCTACCTCTTAGCATTAGGTGACCAGAATAGACTGCTTTTGTTTTCCCCAATAAAATAATTTGGATTATTTTGCATAAAATAATTTGGATAAAGCCAGTTTCTGACTTTCCATAAAACTCATTTTTGCATAGTACTATGTTGGTGCTAAAATTTCATAAAAATGGGTTTTTAATAAATAACAGTGCTCCTATCTATTTTGCAAAGAATACTAAAATTCTAAGTAATTGACAAAGATAAAATCCTTGTAACGTATGTCATTCACTTGTCAATATTAAATTTCCTCAGGTATTCAAGGATTAGACTATACTTGGGAGACATTTAATGGATTTGTTTTTAAAGTATCTAAAGCAGAGGGAGGGAAGAGTAGGGGAAGGGGGAGGAGAGAGAAGGGAAGGGGGAGGGGAGAAAAGAGAGACCGTTCCTTCCAATATTTTTCCTCCTTGACTTTCTATCTCCACCAAGACTTGAGGCACAACTGTAACAGTTAAAACCAATTCTACTTATCAACTTTTTCTGGTTGCCCAGATTTTATAAGGACATGAGAGGAAAAAAAAAAAAGGGTTATGCTGAGGGAGACAGTAGAAAAATAAACCGGGTGCCACTAACCAGACATGTGACCTTGAGAACTCATCTGACCTCTGTGATGATTTACTGACTTGCCTAGCAAATGATGATCACTATAGCTGCTTTCAGCCCAAAACCCCTATGAAAAGTATTAAGCTTCTAGCAAGATCACAGTCCAACCTGCACTGTCCAGCACGTACACCCCAGCACCCTCATGGCCATGCTGCCCTCTCTCACTAATACATACGCCCGTCCCGATTATAGTGAGCTCTTTGCTACGCAGCATTGTTAGGAAAACTATTTGGTAATTCAAATGTCATAGTATATAAGAAGTTAACGTAAATGCCAAACATAAGCACATAAATACTTATAAACAAAATTTTACTAAAAGCAATTTAATTGATTTTTGGTGACTCAAAGTGCATTTTATGATTTTAGAATATTTGGTGGGCGTCATTACAAGCTATCACAGTACAGTGCGTATATGAGATGTCTACTGGTAGAATGCCAGTTAGAGAAAGCTAAATGTTTAGCATCACCTTGAAATATTTTCAATTGAGAAAATGCAGAGATGTATTATAAATCCTTGCACACATCCTCAAAAGTTATGAACTAAGGAACTAAGCCATTTACTCCAAGATTCTGTCTAATAACAGAATTTCTCATAAAAATCCAACCAATGATCAGAAATGCATCATTTCTAAGCAAAGGTGTTTTATTTTTAACTACAGGAGGGTGAATTAATTTAGCACAGGATTTGTCAGGATTTCACCAATGAGGAAAAATAGGAACCACCTGGAAGGTGGAAGCTCAAAAGCAAAATCTCCTAGATTTTATTCCTGGATCTGCTATTCAAATTCCTGATTATAATTATTGTTCTTAATTCCAGAGGTCAAGTGACTTGACTTCGTAGGCATGAGCTTAAATCTTGTTTCTGAGTTGGCCTTAAATATGACCCAGCCGAACTTATTCAATGCAGGAATGTCCTGTCCGGTTTCCATGGCAGATGGGCATATAGACCAGGCTCGAATGACTTCAATGACAGAAAAAATGAGCACATGACCTTAGCAGGCAACTGCCCATTCTATTCCAGGATGGCTCTGACTGCCAGAAAGCTGTTTTGTATCCAACAGAAATCTGCCTTACACTGACTTCTCTCCACTGGTCGTTGGACCATCAAGAATAATACAGAATAAACCCAGGTCCTTACCCTGGTGTGGCTGATTCTCCGAACCTGCTGATTAAGTATTCACAGGTTCAATCCCCACATGGATAAATTAGTTTTAAACAGTGAAAACCTATTTCCTGATCAGAGACAATTGCTGGCTATTGGCAAATCCTGGTTTGGGTTTTCAAGGGGATTGAGTAACATTCCAAGATTGTATCAACTAAACTCATCACCATCCTGGAAAAAGAACTCAAAGTACATATCCTATTAAGGGGGTAAAAGAAGATTTACCTTTTATGCCAGAAATGGTACTCTGACTTTCGTAACTGCAAACATACAGAAAATGGAAATAGACAGCCTCATCACCCAAGGCAGGAACCTGAGAGTTATGCTTGATTCTTCCTATTTGCTCTTCCCCCAAGTCTAATGGGTCACCGAGTCCTGTCACTCCCACCTCCTCTCAATCCCCACCAGCTTAGGTCAGGCCCTTCTTGTCTTGTCTGGCCCACAGAGTATGGGACTTTTGTCTGTTTTGTCCACTGCTGTGTCCCTAGCACCTAGAACATTACCCGACATATATGGGGGTTCAACAAATACTTGCTGAATGAATTTGCATAGCTTCCTCCATGGCTGGACTCATCTCCTTCCACTGCAGCCCCACTACCTCCATGGTTTCTTTCCTAATACCAGGGCATCCCCCTGCTTAAACCCCTCCCATACAGACAGAGCTCCAGCTCCCGAGCAAGACAAACATGGCCTTTCAGAGACTGGCCCCCACTTACCCAGCAGTATCATCTCCTGTCACCGATGCCACTCATGCCGGAGGCACATTAAAGAGCTCACAGTTCTTGGCCTTCTTTTGCTTTCCTATCCTTCCCCAAGATGCCTGGATCTGCTTTTACTCTGGCAAACCCCCACTGGACAGTTCAATGCCAGCTCGAACAGATGTCCTGTGTAAAA